CCTGTCCTGAAATGTAACATGCAGCAGCAGAATAAATCAGAGTTTGGAGCTGTGAGGCCTGAAAGGATCCAGTAGAAGAAGCAGCGATGCAGCACTGAAAGCTGGAGACTGAAGCAGAGAGTTTTTTAGTTTGGTGGTCTGAAAGCATTTGACCTACTTATTTTTATTGGTGTTTAATGGAGCTTTAAGGAGGCGACAGGCAGAGAGCAGCGAGTGGAGCGAGGTGAAGGAGGGGTCGACTCCACACTGACGATGTAAACTGACAGACTGGGTACACTGGAGGGATTTAAGAGCCATGTATACATGTCGATGAAGCCTTTTACTGTGTATACATGCAATAACTGAGGTGTATTAACATACAGACAGATGTAGGCGCACACACACAGAGCTGGGCAGCGATCCAGTCAGGCCGAACATCTGTCTGTCAGATGACGATGGAGAGGAGCTGGAGTGTGAGATTAGCAGTGATTCTCTCACAGAGAGTGAGACAAAGAGGGCGAAGGGAGAGAGAAGCAGACTGGTGTGCATCTGTTCTGAAAAAACAGCACAGCAAAAATAACTTTAAGAGCACTGATGCTTTGATGCTGGTGTTGCTTGGTGCCAGTAGGCGCTCACTCGCACAAACATGCACTTTCTCGTGCAGTTGCCAGCACCTCTTGCTGTGCTAAGCTTTTTTAGTCGTGTTCACTCCAGTGGTCGTTCTCTTCTGGAGAGCTCAGTCACTAATGACCGTATTGTTTCACCCCAGCTGCTTCTCTCACTCATCCCCAGTGGAGAATATGGCCAGTCCACTCAGCCTCTTCTGTCCCAGCTTCCCAAACTGTTTTTAATATCTTTAAGTGTTGGAAAGACTCGTGACCTCTGGCCTGCGAGTCCTGCACCCCTTCTTTTCCCAGTGCTCCGGTAGCATCTACAGCTTTATTCTTTGTAGCTGTTGGAACTGGCTTTTGGTAACTTACCCAACTCAACTTTGACACTCACCAGAGCTCCACGTCGTAATAATCATCCGTGTGCATCCGTGAGGAAACCACACTGGAGTGAAATAATAAATGCCAGTCAGACTGGCCAAACACAACTCAGCCATCTGACTGCGCTCACCTTTACTCGCTCTCAGTAGTTGTGTCCAGTGTGCTGAAGTGGTAGAAGTCACCACTGAATCACATTTAGGTAGACCCAGCATGCACCTGATGCATTAACTCACAGGTGCACCTTTTAACTTTGCTGGCGTCTAATAATATTTACCCTAACCATGACCTATAATGTCATTAATCTTATTCTTACTGCATTGTTGAACTGTCAACAACCCGCCACAGGCCCTTTGTCCCGCCACACCGCGACACTCAGCCGTTAGTGCCGCCTCATATGTTTTTTCTGTCGCTATGGAACAATTCACACAAGTATGTGGTAACATTTCACCACTCTTAAGCTGCCCGGAAACTACAAACCTTTTATATTTTATATTTAAGTTTATATTTTACATTTAAGTATCTTTTTTAGATTATGAGTCAGAACATTTCTCGTGGCTTAAGCGTAATAACTAAGAGCAATATATTTTACTCTATTTATTGTTACTATAAGCTGCTAAGATGAGATTCAATGCATGCAATGACAATAAAGATCTATCTATCTATCTATCTGAAAGAACTGCACTATGTTAGATGACTTAACAAATGTACTCGTGTTTCTCCAAAAACTTTGAATCAGAGATCTTGTGGGGAGAGATGTTTACAAACCAAATGACGAAGATTTAATGATTTACAAGTATGATCTGTTTGGAGTCTTAGAACACTGCACTGTACCGTAGTTAAATCGAGCATTAAGAGTGTCGGATGATCATGTGCTAGTTTTGATTGTTCACATATTGTTAGGTGTAGGTTATATTGTTTGTGTTTAAGAGAATCATCTCTTTGAGTTTTATTTATATTGCTGTTATTCTGCGTGGATCCCAGGAGGACTAGCGACTCTGTGGAAGCTAATGGGGATCTTAATTATAAAGACTAAAGTACCACAGTGACAGGAAAAAAACACACAAAGAGGACATCAGCACTGCATGTATGTTACGCAGAGCCGTATCTTTACAAAGAACACGTGTTGTAACGATGTTCAGCTGCTTTAGGGCTCTTTTTCTTCATTTATTAAAGGTGCTGTTTTCAAATCAGATGTTATTTTCATTGCACTTACTGCTCTTATTTGTGTTTAAAACTATCCTTGTGCATCACTCATTCACAACTCTCTCTCTCTCCCTCTGCCCTCTAACAGCAGACTATAGACATCCTCACCTAGTTTTTCCAACCAGGTTTAACCTCGATCTGCTCAGCCAATCATGAAGTCACTGTCACTCTTTAAATCTGTTCTCCTCTGCTGTCGGCTGTCCTTTCAGTACAAATCCCCGCGGCTCTCCTTCACCTTCAGCATCCTCTTCATCCCTTCATCACCACCAGTCTAGACTCCATCAGGGAGGGTTTTACTGTACATGCCTCTGCAGCTTCACCACCCCTTCAGATACCTCACCATCACAACGGGGTCAATTCACTAAATGAAAGCGGTGTGACGAGACATTTAACCCACGAGACAAGATGAGATTCGAGATTGGGTTCACGGGATCGAGATCTTTAGTGCTGAATTATACGAAGATTTTGAGCATTAAACACTTTATTTCCTGCGTTCTGAGGATTTCTTTATTTTATTTATATAAAGAGAAACACAAAATTCATGTGGCAGGTGATGATTCAAAATCTACAACTTAACTGTAACAGAATATAAGTCAGTGCAGCTCACAGTCCCAAACAGAACAGGCTGCGCTCCAGCTGTGTTACCACTCGTCACAGCTGTCTGGACTCAGCTGATTACTATCACAGCGTACTTCAGTGTCAATCAGCTTGATTAGCTCCGCGAGTCTTATCAGTTTTACATTTGTATTTCACTGCGTGAGAAAAACAGCGAGACAGCTTTTTATCTGACTAGAATTCTCGTCACAATTTAATTTTGCGAGTTCTCGTGGCGCGAGATCTCGTCACAACCCTACTAAATGACTTGTCACATGTTCATGTTCATGAAAGGAACAATAAAAACTGCTGTGTGACTCTTTTCATTTAGTTTAAAGAAGAATCAAAAAAACATCCAGCGTCAAAATTTTGGACTTTGTGTCTGAATCAAAAACAACATGTTGGTTTTGTGACAAAAGTGAGATGCGCACGCACACACACACTCTCTACAAGATGTGCACACATACTGCAGCTAAACATCTGTCAGAAAGTTTGAGGAGGTTGTGTGTGTGATGTGCTGGATGAGATACAGCTCCTGCTCCAAACTCTTCGTCTGCTCCATAAAACAGACCTCTCGGCACCTCCGCTCTCCTCACTCTCCCTTTATTTTACTTCGTTTTATGTTTCTACTAAAACACATTTACTCTCGTCATAAAACAGACGCTTCACACACCCTCGCTCGCCGTCGGTGAGGAGAGTCCGTTTAGCAGCAACAGACAGAAGAAAAATGCACATTTTCTCACTGTTTGTGTTGACGTTTCGTGGCACGGTTTCAACATGTTTCAGCATCGAACTCACTCTGGTCATAAAAGAATCTCAACTAAAAGAAGATAAAACAAAACAGTAGAGTCCTGCTGGCGCTCGCTACAGGCTGCAGTGTTCATTACAGCCACAACAGTAAAGTGTTGGACAGAACTAACAAGATAATCAGTGGACTCATTGATCTATTCTCAGGGCCTGATTTCCTCTGTGTGAGTAAAAACGTGTGCAAACTTCACATCACCAGCAAATTAACACGTGGGCTGATCTGAACGGTGTGCACGCAGAATGACGTCTTCTAAAAGTGCCAGATAGCACCTGTTGTTCATTTACTTTGCCTTAATGAATATGGAATTCGAGGCGTTTCAGTTTTATTGTGCCAAGTAATGGGAGGGTAACATACAAATACATTTATTTACTACACGCAGTGTGATCTAACACGCCTAAACGCAATTTCATGTGAGTGCAACAGCATCTGTAATTAATACGTTTGACAGGAAGGCGCAAAAGCCAAGTGTTGCAGAGATGGCTGCTGTTATCGATGTGAGGAGACACGTGATGAAAGAAAACTGATTCTATACTATTATTCAATACAATTATTTAATTTTATTTATTTGATAAACTATCTAACTATGAAGCACGACCTGCTGGCATTTCCTGGCATCTGGGTCATTCCAGCACACTGTCGCTGTTTCTGCTGGGGTTTCCCAAAGCAGTTTTTCAGGGGTGCCAAGTACTTAGTGCAATCTCAGGCAGGACGGGCAGGTACAGACGATTTCCACATCCTCGGGATGCACTTAATAAAACAAACCAAGGTTTTTGAGCAGCGGCTGCTTTCCCTCCCGACTCGCATGGTGGAAACCATTAAAAGACGCAAAACCCTCGTTTAAATACTGCCACCTCCGTTGTGTTTGCTCCTGTCGTCATCTACGCAATAATTCTTAGTTAATCACCCATAACAGGAACTAAAATTGCACGTGCAATATTTTAGAACGCACTCGCACTTTAGTCCTTTTTATTCGGGGTGTTAGTAAATCCGGTCCTAAGAGTCTTACCATTAGGGGAGCGGGTAATGCAAAGTTTGTCCTCAGGGTGGCGCTAGAGGAGAGGTCGGGAATCTTTCAAATCTAAAGGATTCATTCTGGGGAGCAAGTATATCTACAAATCTAAATACTGATCTGCTGTGGATGTTCTCTGCAAACACAATGCAAATAAAGGAAAGACAAACTTAAATAGTTCTCTTAATCCTCCACTGTACTCATGTCTCGGCTTTTGTCCTGTGCTCTCACATTATCCACTGACAAATTATTTACTTATTTCACAAGCTTTTTACAACCCCAATCCTGCAGAATAGCAGCATGTGACACTGACAGGATGTGTTTGACAGAGAGTGAACCCAAGCGCATCTTTAACACACAGCAAACACACTCCCAACAGGCAATAAGTCCAGACTAATTTAATTAATTTTGCACTTACTTGGGGTAGTTCATGCAGTAGAGTGTGTAGATGTCGAAGGCTTCACTCTAAAGAAAGGAGGAGAAAGAAAGCAACAAACATCATCAAGAAGAACAGATTTCTATATTTTATACTGCTATATCTGTGAATAATATTATTACTCTCGTATCTGTTTATATATTTGTTCCCATTAAATAGATTTATGTATCAGGGAGCATGTGCAGTTAGAGATATTCTCTAATCTCTACCTGAGGTCTCTGGACAGGTAGAACCACCGAAGCAAGGTTTAACAAGAAGATTTAGGACACAATCTGCCACTCTCTCTTCCATCACCATCTCTGTTACTCCTACTGCTGTCCTTTAATTTTGTAATCTATCACTTCCTGTCAGTCAGTCAGGAGGTCACAGAGAAAGACAGCACTGTGTTAGACACTCACACAGGTCTTTAAATAACTCTAACAGTTTAATCTAATGTCCTCTGCTTTACAACAGACAAGTACGTGAAAGTATTACAGAAAAGATAATTATTCTAGTAGAATAAAGGACACGCAGTTTGATTAAGTTTAGGCCAAGCAGGAAGCTTCCGGTCTGAGAAGGGAAGCGAGAGCGGAAGTCCCTTAAACCTGCGTCCTCTCCAGCAGCCAGCAGGGGGCGACTCCAGCAGAAAGAAGTGTGATTGTATAGAAGTCTGTGAGAAAATGTTTCTACTTGTCAGCTGATTTATTCCCTCAGTAAACACTTTCCTGATGAGTTTCTGGTCTCAGTCGCTAGTTTCAAGTCTTCTTCAACACAGCATGATGTTCATTTAGTAAATTATGGTCCCATTTAGAGGAACAGAGACCAGGAAGCAGGGGAGGCTTTAGGGCGGGATTATCTATGATTTAGAATTTAACCAGCACCGCTGAAGAAGCGAATTAGGAGTCGGCTGTTCACTTTCTCTGGTGAGCACATTTAGTTTTAAGACTCTTGTTCGCTAGACAAAGTTATTATATATAAGTTAAAATGACAGTTAATGTGAATTACAGATGCACCTAATATGGCCGCTGGTTGCAAAAACTCCCCTATCGGCCAAACTCGAGGCTTCAAAACGGCGGTCCACAAACCAACGGGTTCCGTCACCATGACTACGTCCACTTCTTATATACAGTCTGTGGATTGACCTCTGTTAAAGAACTTTGCCAACAAAACGCAGTCACCAGGGCTCTCAAGTTTTATCAAAAGTTTGGAGTGAGATTACATCTGTTAGAGGAGGAGCTGCTCAAATATGTGCAACCCACCCAATTCTCTCAGGTTTTTGCTGCTAGCAGTTAAATTCTACCTTTTGTTCATAATTGACCAGCACAAATAGAAATTATAACAGCAGGTTAATCTGACAAACACACTTATATTTCAAAAATACAAATGTATTCTATACTTATGGGCTCCTATACTTAAAGCACTTACCGGCTCTGACACTTAGTACAGAGAAAGCTATGAACTCGGCATAAAACACTGTATGCCTGCGCCTCGTCCACTAATTGTATAGCGGCCACCTAAATTTCTGTCCTTCCCTTTGTAAAAATAAAGACATTTACACCATAAATTGGTGCAGAAAATGTCTCCAGGAAATTAAGTGTTTAATGCTCAGGTGCGTTTCTTTATGATAATTTCATAACAAACTGCTGAGTCAGTAGTTAGCTCAGTTGGTACAGTGCAGGACTTGCAGGATTTGCATCCCGACAGTTGCAGGTTTGATCCCCACACTTTGTAAAGTTTATTATTCTTCTTTTGTGTTTTTTTAAATCATTCTCTTCAACAAAGTTGTTATGTAGAGATTCAGATGAATCCAATCACACATTTCCTGACGGCTGTTTCAAAGGTTCTGAAGTAGCCGTCAGTAAATGTGTAGTTAAATGGATTCCCCTGAATGAGAAGTGGATGAATTTCCTCTGCCTGGGAATGATGGGAAATGAAAAGTCCATAGGTTGAATGTGGACCAATCACCGGGATGCGCACGCTCCAGCACGTGATTAATTGTGAGCATGTGAATCAGTCGTCTTCATAACAACTTTGTTGAAGAGGAATATGAAAAAGATTTTTTTTTTTAAATGGTCTTCCATGAGGATCAAACTATGAGTCCTGTGCTTTACCAACTGAGCTAATCAGTGACACTGAGAGCATCTTGCAATTACCATTAAGTAACCTTTATGTTAAACTCAGGAGGATCAGGAGAAAACTACCCCGTTATAACGGGGAAATGGAGTTAAAGAAAGATATGAATTGATGGCCTCTTAGGGCTTCCGTATGATCTCACTCTTGGACTAAAATGTTGGTCAGATAGTCGTCACTGTCCAGAGACCTGCAGTCAGCTGCTCAGGAAACACTTCCATCCTTTCTCTGTGCTGTAACATGTGAGAACAATACCACTACTGTCCGACACACACACACACGTCTAAATGTATTGACTCGGTGAGGGTTTGATCCGCAGCAGTAGCTGGTTAGTGAAATGACGTATGTGATTTTGTGGAGTGAATGGAGGGTCCAGTTCTACCGGTGGTTTACAGGGTGTTTGGGCTTTACTGGGTCATGTTTCCTGTCAGCTAACAGCCTCTCACACACACACAGCTGTACTGTACTCACCCTTTCTACGAAGCACTCGGCGATGGCTGCAGCGTGAGGACTCCTCTCTAAATCCTCCAGGAGATCACTGAGGAGACACAGACAGGAAGTTAGAGGGACTCTTCTTTCACATGTTTGTGCCACGCGGCCAGAGGTACGTACGGAAGCCCTGAGTGGCCATCGATTCATATCTTTATTTTACTCTGAGATACTCTGAGATAATTATCTCGTGATCTCGAGATAACGAACTGTCGGCAGGTGTGTTTCTTTACGATAATTTTCATTATAACTTGCAGAGTCAGCATTTAGTTCAGTTGGTAGAGTGCAGGACTTGCATCCAAAGGGTTGCAGGTTTGACCCCCTCACTTTGCAAAGTTTTTTTATTCTTCTTTTGTGTTTTTTTTAATCGTTCTCTTCAACAAAGTTGTTATGAAGAGATTCAGGGGAATCCAATCCATTTCCCGACGGCTGTTTCAAAGGCTCTGAAGTAGCCGTCAGGAAATGTGTAGTTAAATGGATTCCCCTGAATTAGAAGCGGATGAATTTCCTCTGCCTGGGAATGATGGGTAATGAAAAGTCCATAGGTTGATGAATGTGGAATATGAATATGAATTTTTTTTAAAGTTGGTCTTCCATGAGGATCCAACTCACAATCTTAAGAGCTAATCAGTGACACTAAATCCACCTTGAATTTACCATTAAGAAACGTTCTTGCCAACCCCTGTGTTAAACTACTGATCACGAGAAAATGATCCCGCTATCACGGGAAAACGGAGTAAAATAAAGATATGAATCGATGGCCGCTTAGGGCTTCCGTAGGTACGAACACACCTGGACACTGCAGCCATATGTGATAGCTGATTCGCTCCCATTCATCTACAAGAGCATCACTGGTGTCCAGGTTCACAGTCGGTGTTGGATGGGGTTTAGGTCAGAGCTCTCTGCTGGCCAGTTCTTACCCACATGCACAAGGCGACAAGATCACATGATAACAACAGAGCAAAACCCCATCCACCAGGAAAACTGCCAGATGCAGTTGAACTAGTTGCCCTGGAGGACCTCGAGTAAATATTCTTCTTTGTCAAAGTCACCAAATACATGAACAAAGAACTGAGAATGAAAGCTTTGCGTGAATGACTCCAGGACCAAATTTCATCCCACACTCAACCCATGATGATGACGCTGACCACCCGCTGATGCCTACGTTACAGGTCTGGAGTCGTAACTGATCCGCATTAAATACAGTTTCCTTACCTTTGTTGCTATTCAGCTATTCTTTCAGTCATGTTGGGCTGCAGGTCTCTGGGCTCATGATAACTTACTGTACATAAAATGATCAGAATGCAGCGAGGTATACAGAGATTAAATGTGGAAAAACAATGGCCAATTTATACTTCTGCATCAAATCTACACCATAGGTACACGATACTCTACGTTGTTGCTGATGTGCACCTCCCCAAAAGTTTTACTGCACATCGCGGCGACGCAGACGGCAAGAAGAGTGAATTTCCATCTTCCTTTGTCAGCTCAAGCTTCGTACACACCGTCTCCTCCGATGCCTTCTGTCATTTCTGCGTTTTAAGTCATTTCACTAAAAGTAACTGCTGTTCGACATCGATCAGCTCCAACATGATCCACTCAGTTTCAGCCGCCACTGTTTGTAGTGGCTTAAACTTATGAAGAAGAAGAAGAAGGAACTCAACACAGAGGAACACAGGAACCCCACCGCCAACTAGCGTTTTAGCTGCAGAGCAACGCCGACACCAACGCACAAGTATAAACCCCCCCAAAGGCACATAACCAGCGTAAGCTTGACGCAAGTATTAATCTGCCCTCTGAGCAGTGATGTCAGCAGATGACCTAAGGTTTGGTATCAGTATCGGGGGAGAAACTGTTAGATAGGTGCATCCATAATTACAGTAAATGCATTCATCTGAAGCCCATTGAGTGTCTATGATAAAGCTCTGTATATAAATGTAATCCAGTATTGTTATTATTACCCCGTGTCTGCACCTTCTCATGTTGGGTCCTGCAGGACCTGCAGGATCCTGTTCCTGCTACAGCCCTCCAGAATGAAGCGTATTGACAAGCACAGATAGAAACCAGCATCACGAGGTCACATTTCTCCCACAGCTTTAGTAAATCTCTGATTCACGGCCAGTTTGCTTTGCTGGGAGCCATGGAAAATATTCAACAAGATAATAGAAAAAATCCTGTTGCAGTTACCGTGCAGTCGGTGTGGAAACACATGAAGGTTAGTGTGACACCAAACTGACTCCAGGACCTGGAGACTGTTACAGCTGGCAGACGTTCACCAAGAAAACTCTGCCTCCATTCCCACAATCCCGCTACACACACACACACATTAATGTCCACAAGCCATTTCTTTATCTCGCCATCTTAATTCTCTTGTATCCATCCATCTGTTTCAGCCAAGACTACTCCCAGCCCTGCGAACACACACATTCATGCACAGTGCACTCCAAAAGAGATTTACATCCATAAAGAAGTCGAGATCCCTTAAAAATACCGGAATGTGTAACAGTAACCTGTTTGTGTGTCTGAACCCTGACCAGGAGTACAGCCCGGGTTCAAACCTTTGACCTCTGACCCCAGTTTTTCTGCTCTTTATATTGATCACAGTAACATCTGTTACATCTGCTCATTTCCTGGTTAACGAGGATATAAAAACACCGATCAGATCGTCTCGAAGCCTAACGTGGCCTCTGTGGGATCCACACACAGGAAAATGAAAACCTGGACACCAGATTGAACACTACAGAACTCAACTGGACTCAGACGAGGGCCTCAAACAAAAGTGTTTGTTTTGTTGTTTTTGTTTTCTCTCTCATGTTTAATTTTCACTTCTATACCTGTGTTAGCAACACGTTCTCACTCCCGACTCGTCACGTACTGACGCCGGGTCAAGGCACTTTGGCGTCGCTTTCACACGTTTAAGGCTCCACGATAAAGTTAGCAACGCTTAGCAACGTCAAACATGCAACGTCCGGTTACATTTCAAAATAAATAGCGTTTCGAAACATCGGCATTTTGAAACGGCACATTATTAAAGTCATCAAACGTTGCTGTTTGGTTAGGTTTAGGTACAAAAAGTACTTGGTTAAGGTTCAGAAAAGATCATCTAAGTTAACAACAGGGCTGCAACTAACGACTATTTTGATAGTCGATTAATCTATCGATTACTGAAACGAATAGTCGACTATTCGGATTATGAATCGCAAAATGACACAATGCCTCTCATTTAGCTATTTAAATTAAACCTGAGGTTGTTTTAGGCATATGCTAATTAACAGTCAAGTATAGAACTGTATAGAAAACGTTTCAGCTCATAACGTGAAGTAACACGGCTTTAACGTGAAGCTAGCTCGCTAACTAGCTTACCGAGACGAGTCGTCATCGTCCACAGAGACACAACGTTACGCGCCTCCTCTTCAGACCTCCGCTGTTTCCAGGAGAGCTTTGCTGCAGTTCACGACCTTTCTGGCTGAGTGAAGAGTGAAACGCTGCCACACTCTGGAGGTTTTAGGTGGTGAAGGTGTTACTGCAGCTCTGATGTCGTTTTAGCAACTTTACTGTTCGCATCACTTCACTCCGTTCAGCTGACGCTGTCGCTACGATGACGTCATGAACGAATCGATTATTAAATTCGTTGGCAACAAATTTAATAATCGATTTTTGTCGACTACGTCGATTATTTGTGGCACCCCTAGCTAACAACAGACCTCCAGCGGACGGCCTCTAACAGGAGGTCTGTTGTCGGCATGATAGTGTTAAAATGAAACACAGCAGTAGCGCTGATAAGATGGAGTCAACAAATGAAGTTTAAAGTGAAGGTATGCGGCTGCTCAGAGAATGTACCGCACGGGCCTGACTCGAAGCGGCTGACGAGGAGGTTAAAGCCCGTGGCCACTGGTGTCAGTTACCAGTGCGTGTCTTAAGGTGTCGGGAGTGAAGTTTACTCGCTGCACGGCCTCGCTGGCTTCCGTCAAACGGGCTAATACAAGACCAAAGCAAGGCAAGTCTGAAATTTGGAAAAGTGACTGCAATGATTTATGTCGGTTTTTCTGAACGTTTAGCGTAGCCCAAACATTTGTGTCCCTTTTTTACTCTGCATGTCACAATGTTTGCGGGCGGTAATGGTCACAAAATCAACGGGAGAGGGATCAAGAAAACAGTCCAAATAACTTGTGGAGTGTTAAGAACTATTTTGTTCATCTTTCTACATTTAGAAATACTTTGTAGTTCTAGTTTAACCCTAACCCTCCAACCACCTCCTTAACTCTTTTCTGTTAAATATAAACCTGCCTTTACCGTCACAAACTGGCGCTACAGGGCTTCCCCCACTGCGCTGAACTATGACGCTACAGGGATCCTCAGTGCGTTACAAACTGACGCCGATGGGTCTCGACCATGTGTCCATACGAGGCAGAACGAGTTGGTGTTGAGTGTCTTTCTCTGAAACAGGCCACTGAGGGAAAAGCTCTGATTTAACCTTGGCTCAGTCCTCAAGCCATTGGTTTTGTTTATATATGTTTTTTGTAAGTTGTTTCCTTTTTTTTCGTTCACATCACATTAAAAACCGTGAGATCGCACAGACAGTGTGAGACACACCTTAGTGATTTTCTGGCAGCTGAAGTTCAAGCAAACTGATCTGATATATGACCTCCACTCCACACACGATCAACTCGACACATACGAACACTCGGTCAAGTCAAGACCCCGTGGAGCCGCTTTTTAACGCCCTGGTCCCCTTTAGCGTAGTTTTTGCATGCATAGGGCTTTGTGGTCAACTTAGCAAGAATACATATGCAGCGTCAGGTTAGACTTTCAAAATAAAAGTAGTTGTTCATCTTGTACTTCTCTTATATTATCTAAAAAAACCAACAGAATATTTTTATCTGATTGCTCAATGAATTGTCAGCAAATCATTCAAACTAAGCCACATTTATATTTTACACTTAATCTGGTTTGACTTTTCCTCATCATTATAATAAATACTTCCCTGCTTGCGTATGTGTTGAGGACGTTTAAAGACCTTTGTGCAGCAGAAGCTGGTCGTTTCCCCAG